TTATATAAATTATTTTAATTAATTAATTAAAATTTTATTTTTTTAATATTAATTAATATAAAAAATATATTCTTAATCTATGAGTAGATATTAAAAAAATCCTTACAGATTAGATGTTTCTCTAATCCAACCTATAAAAATGGTTTGAAATATTAATTATCAACGGTTCAACTTTTGCAAAGTCGAGGAAATTGGTTGCTTTTGGTGTTTCTCTGTGATGGGCAAAGACGTTGGGATGTTTCTCGAGTCGAGTCAGGCTGTAGAGTCGAGAGCGTCCAGGGGTAGGGGAAGCTTGGGCGCAAGTGGAGGTTGGAGTAGTGGGGGGAAGGTTTGGCGTTGCAGGTCCCTTTAGTTTTTGTAGGGTTTTCGTTTTAGCCCCGTATTTTATTTACACTTTTGTTCAATTTGGGCCTTTATCTTTAGTTTTGTTCTGTTTTAGTCCTAGAGCCTTAGACTGGAGTTTATCAGTGGTTGCTGCTAGCCCAAGGGCAATAGGCTCATTAATAATACCTCTGTCTGCTAAGTTCCTAAGCACACTTGTAAGGAAAAGGTTATTTTCTCCTTAAGGTAGATTTTGAGAAATGTGTTCATTTTGCACTCGAAGGGGAAGACATATTGCCGATAAGCTCATTAATAAAGAAAGGGATTTTGTGAACTAATAAGGATTTACCTATGATATTGGTTGGCAATAGAAATGGATCTTTTGTTAAATGGAAAAACTTCCATATCTTTTATATATATATATATAAGCATATCTTTTATGATAACATAATAAAATATATCAATTTCATCTAGGTAGTTGTTTTATAAACAATTAATAAAAGAAGTATATGTGTTTAAATAAAAAAATAGTTTTCTTCACTTATGAATGAGCAACAACAAAATAATTACAGTGTCACGTAAAATTATAAATTTATAATTATTATGTAATATTAAATGAATATGATATGCTTTTAAATCAGTAAATACATATAATATCACAAATATCTTTAAATGAAAAAGCTAATTATATAACAACATATTATATTATAAGTTTATAATATCACGTAATATTATAACTATAACATTTTTGTAATATCAATTGATTTTAAGTTAAGATGTTAAAGTTGAGTCCATATAAATTTTCCTATACAGGTTAATAACTAAGATTTAATCTCTTGAATCTTGACCTTGCTAAAAAGATTATCATGCTTCTTGAATCTTGACCTTCCTAAAACGATTATCATGAATCTCCCAACATAGATAGCTTATCGTTAACGGTAGTGCTGCGTCTAAATATAAAATGAGAAGATTTTATCAGCTCAATTCAATGAAATACACACATTCTTCCCTAATTTGCGTTCTGAATAAAGAAACATATTAAAGGTTTCTAACTTGACATTTTTATCACCGATCGTATAACCTCCTCATCACTAGCCAGCCGACGACTCAGAGGCAAACTTAACCCTTCGAAAACCGTAGGGGTTTTCAGGTTGAAAATGGTGATGAGCATAAACTCTTAACACTAAGGAAAACAGAGTTTATGTCATCAGTCATCAATCTCAATCGTCATTCATTACATCAAAATTAAGCCTTACTCAAGTCTTGACTCTTGACCACATGTGAAAAATCTAGTCCAACTTTAGCTGAAAATTGAATACAAACATATATAAACAATGTAAGCTCTGCCCGCGTGCCCACAGTTCAAGTTGCCTCCGTGCCTATAGGCTGAGTTGCCCACCATGACACACGTACCTGATACCTCAATTTCCTCTTCTGTACGCCACCTTCTTTCAAGGAGTTAACGCCATCAATGCTTCTCTCGTGTCTTCATTTGCCACAGCCATTGAATTCCAGTATATAAGTCGCGTATGTACGTGTAACTCTGTACTTGGTCACGATTCACAAATTCTCTTGTAGATTCTTTGTTTTTTTGGTATAATTTTTTATTTGCTCAAGTAAGGAAGAGGAAGATACATGGTGGAATTCTTGGGAAGATTGACCCTCCAAGCCCTGGTCTTGAATCAGGGGAGGATGAAGAAGAGCTCAGCTATGACGAGCCCAAGAAGCGGATGTGGTAGGATCATCTGCGGATACAAAAGCTGAAGGAGAAGAGGAACTAGGAAGACACTGATTCAGAAGCAAAGCAGGAGAAGTCTCGCCGCAAGAAGATGTCCAGAGGTCAAGATTCCATTCTCAAGTACATGGTGAAGATCATGGAGATGTGCGAGGGGCAGGGGGTTTGTTTATGGGATAGTGCCGGAGAAGGGTAAACCGTTGACCGGATCGTCTGATAGTTTACAGGAGTGGTGGAAGGAAAAGGTTCGGTTCAAGAAAAATGCACCTCTGGCTAGTGCTGACATTTTGCCGCCCGTTTTGGAACAGGGTCAGTTGGATCCTGCATCTTGTATGCATCTCCTTCAGGATTTGCAGGATACAACTATCGGGTCGATTCTGTCTGCTCTTATGCAACACTGAATTCCGCCGCAACGGAGGTTTCCACTGGAAAATGGGTTGCCTCTGCCGTGGTGGCCGACCAGGAACGAGCTCTGGTGGGGAGAACAGGGGGTGGCTCAGGATCAGGGGCCTCCTCCTTAGAGAAAGCCCCACGACCTTAAAAAGGCATGGAAAGTGAGTGTTTTGGCCGCGGTGATAAAGCATATGTTGCCTAATTTGGACAGGACGAGGAGGCTGGTGAGGCAGTCCAAGTCTTTACAAGACAAGATGACGGCCAAGGAGACAGCAGCTTGGTCTAAAGTGGTTGACCAGGAAAAAACACTCATGAAACTTACAAAGACCTGTCTGAAAATCTCACCTTCCGAAGAAGATGGAGAAGGAGAAGAAAAAGAATGGAACCCTCGGAGTCATCCTGCCAAGAAGAAGACGTCCAGCCCTAGAAAGCGCGATGAAGGGAAAAGGAAGTTTCATTTTGATCCAGGGAAGTTTCCAGAAAGTGGAGAAGGATCAGGCTCTGTGGGGAAGTGCTCAAGAACTGACTCTGAAAGTAATAATTGTCTAAACACTGAAGGAGACTCTGATTCATCTGCTAGGAATTTTCTCCAGTATGATCTACAGAAGGAACTGCCTGGCACGAGCACTTGTGGAAACGTTAGCCAGAATATACTTACCGTGGCAGAGTGGCTTGATATGGAGCTAGCAAAGGCTAACCAGAACAGCGAGGTTGATGTGAATGAAATTGCAGGGCTCTCTAGCAGAATGGTAGAAGATTATATGACTTACTGGGGTGGTGCATTTGAGGACACAGGGATGCATGCAGAATTTCCATTTCTCCAAAAGGAAGTAATGGACTTAAACACCTGCCCCATATTAGGGGACTTAAATCATCAAGGATCAACTTCAGTCTGGGTTTTGGGATATTAAGGATAGATGATAACAGGAATCGAGCAACTTCTGTAAGTTGATTGCTCCAAAGTTGAGATTTTGAAACCCTAAACCTGTTCAGAATCAGAAAGAAATTAGTTTATTTGGGGCATTGAAATAAAGGGCATAGCATCTTGGCTCATTGAGTTTTCTGTGCAGTCTCAATTTTCTATTTTCATGATGGCAATATTAGTTTTTCTATCTATATTCTTGTAACAAGGCTTCATTACATCAGTAGATACTCTTCTGGTAAGCCGCGAAGCATTGCCCTTTCTTGCAATGCATTCAGAAAAAGGAAAACCAGTTTAGGAATACAGATGAGAATTCTTTGATCTAAAGAAATATACAGTTTGTTTAGCTTCTAGTTGGTTAGAACTCATAAAAGCTATGCCTTTGAGGAATGCAATCCTCATACTCCAGTCTTGCGCCCATGCACGAATAACCTTTTCTGAATCTGTTGCTAGTTTTACTTCTTACTTCAACCTCAACTGAAAAAACAGCACAAACAGGCCTATGATCAGACAATCTTGACTCTCCACGAATGTAAGATAATTGCTCAATGCCCTGCCCACGCCATAGTATCCTGTCACACCTGAAATTCAAGTGCAAACCAATTAATCTATTCTGCTCAGCAATTTGCTGTTTAGAATTCAAAATCATCCTAAAAAATAAAATTACCATGCAGGAGTTCGCCGTTTCTTCTTGGATTTAACATTCTCTCCAGCATATGAGTCTGAATTATGGGAATACTTGTAAGTAGGAGCAAAGAGTATCCGTCCCTCTTTGAAACCAGTAAATGCTCTTCCTGCTTCTCTCTCAATTCTTAACTGTAATACACAAGAAAGATTAGCCAGGTGAATAGATATAAGTTAATTAAAGGGTTATGCAAATTGTCATGAGCATTATCTCTTTGTATTAGTGCTATAGGACCTTTCTAGTGTTTTTACTTTTTTGTTTAGCTTGTATGGCGAAAGCATTATAGCTTGAACTGTATCTGTTTTGATCTTTTTAATAAAACTATGCTTTTCTATAAAAAGAAAAAAAGGGGTTATGCAAATTCTTCTTTCACAATGGCAGAATCTTATAAAATAAAATGGTTGTGACAAACCTGATCTTTTGCCAGCATGGTGTCCCAATCATTATTCTCCAAAAGCACCAGTGCATCTTCATAGCTCAAACTTACTCGATAATTTAAATCACCAAACCAAATCACTCGGCTACAGGTCCAACAAAAAAATGAGGATGATAACAATTGTAATAATAAAAAATTTATGATTGTATATATGAATTATGGATGCAAACTTACTCATGGTCAATTATTTTTTCTGGGGCTAGACAGTTCGAACCCTTGCAGATTTTGGAAAACTGTGTGTTCTTGAGGATCTCGGTAACATCAGCATTCCTCTTGAGCTCATTTCCTTCCTTCTCACCAGAAGCCAGGTGACAGCACAAGAAGCAAAAGCTTGTTTGGTGCAAAGTCATGCTTATTGCTATACATCCCTGCATTATCATCCCATAAGTCAAATTTGGCTTTTTGCTTCTGTTCCAGAAATTTCTAACCATATCATTGTTCAGGTTTATCATTTTTTCATTACCCCAGCTGGTATGGTAAAATGACAGAAGAAAACTCTTATGCTATGAGGTCCACTGTAATTTATTACCAAATGAAACCAAGAACCAAGAACCAAGAACACTAAATCCCTACACATACCTTGTTGCCAAGACATCCCATTATCCCTCTTCCTATAGAGGAGACTCTGAGATGGCCAATGTATGGAATTAACTCTTTCCGAACCCAAATTGAGAGGAAAATTCCAACCATTTGCTTGCTAGATATAAGGCAGTAACTCATCTGTCTAGGTGAATACGGATTGGACATACCAGAAGGCGAAAGCAAATACTCAGCAATACCATCATTACGCATTGGAAGGGAACTGAGGTCTAGTCTAGTTGCAAAATCACTTAGCTTTATTAGCCTCCGACTGTCCTGAGTTGTTGAATCAACTGGACAGTTACAAGTTTTGAGAAGGCTAGTATCTGCCCTGAAACTCTTGCACATGAGTTTGAGAGAAGGTTTGTGGAAGAAGTTATTATGTTTTGAATCCTTAAAGTTGTTGGTACATGGGTTTTTTGAAGTAGGGCCTGATACTGGAGAAGAGTAGACGGAGTCATGATGTGCCTTGTTAAGTGCTTGACATATAAGTGCCAGCCATTTCGCTGCAGGCTCATTGTCTTCAATTACTAGTACATTTCCAGCACTGAGAGGAACAATTTCCTGAAACCTGGCAAAAGAATTAACTTAGATATGAAGTTACAAGAATTTCTCCAAACTTTCGATTTAGAAAACACACCAATGAAAATCCATACGAAGTTTCTAATTACTGGTACCCCAAACTTTAGATTAACAGCCATGCAGTTCTAAATCATGAAAAACAATGATATTATATGTATGCATGAAGGGCGGGATTTGCCTCCAACCCACCAAACCATCAAATAAAACAGTCTTCCCTTATACTAATTGATTGTTGTCAGAAAACAATGACTGAAATTATTTGCTCCAAAGCTACCGTTTGACAGATACATGTGAATTGTAATGGTGCTTGACCTGGTTATTAAAGAAAACAAATCCTGGGTTAATCATACCCACAGACATATATGTCAGCAGAGCCATCTGCTAGCAAGAAATCTTCTAGGTTCAGATCATAGTTGGGTGTCTTCCCTCCCACGTTCCATGTAGCAACAAATATCCTGAAAACCGAACAATGACATTCCTGCCTGCTATGAGACACCATAAGCCTGATAGAAGGCAAAATGATTCATTAGCTCAACTGAGAATACATACCGGATCTCTCGAATTTCAGTTGTCTGTGCCATAGATTGCTCAAAATTGGAGAGGTTTAGGCCTTCTATCCCTGCACTCGTCTGCCTTTCTGGGAGTAGAAAAGAAATTTGCATCACAACTCATTTTTTTTCAAGTTCTAGATTGTGAACACAACAAAAAAATATATCAAATGAAAAGGCCTAATGGTCAATATCAAACATGAAACTTCCACTCAATACATCATGTTTCTTTTTTGTTCAATTAGAAATATCTATCTAGCAAGTAACCATAACCCTTTGTTGTTAGGTAAGCTACCAAAATTATACAGCAGACAAGGAAGAAATTAGTCCCCCTGCCGATGGGTAACGTGGCATGTATCCTTGACGCATTACAACTAATAAAAAAAAAAAATTGAGAAATTCTATTGCATTTTCATGATACGATTTAAGTATTCAAAATATTTGTGGCGTGATATTCCGAGATATAGTAGAATTTCTAATCTAAACTATCATATCTTATTACTAAAATATATAAAGGAAAGGTGGTCTAAGCATATCCAAAATTTTAATTTTTTATTATGCATGCAATTGGGTATGGAAATTAAGGCTGGCTAGCTGCACCTAATCCTCAAACCTGAGAAACTTTTTCTCATAAAGGAAGGCACGTCCTCCAGGAACCCTTTTCCCCTTGATGATATCTTCTTCTCCGAATCTATGAAGATAATTTAGAAAAAGATTCAGAAACAAATAATATTATCCATGGAAAAAGATGTCAAAATAAAGATTCGGAGAGATACCAAGAGAAAACATAGCTACATCCTCATCTGAGTTTCTTCGTCTTGAACTAAAAATCTTCGGAATTATCGACTTCATCCAAGATCAAATTTGAACAAATCAAACACATACCCATCACAGGAAATACGAAGAAGAACAAGAAAAATGGTAAATTTAGAAGAAGGGGAGAATACCCTCTTTTTCTTGTCATTCTTGACGGAGTTTTCAGGAGAAGTGACGCCGCTGCCGCCGCCGCCGCCGGTGGCGGTGGTATTGGCCTTTGTCATTCCAAAATTGGGTCGGATATAGAATTCATTCATTAGTTCACTCGAAACTGAATTGGATGATTATCCAATTCAAATCCAAAAAAGGTAGAGCAGGGAATTTCTTTCTGGTTAATCGCATCGGAAATTTTCGTTAACCGAGGATGATTTTTTTTTTCTTTTTTTCCTGTTGTAACTTTTTTTTTTGGGGGAGGAAATAAAAATGGAGAATGAAATTTTGTGATGTCTTTGAAAGGATGAGATATTGGCGCCATTTCCTTCGGAGGAGAAGGAGAAAACCGTTGAGGGATTGGATTTGCCTTTTTGCTTTTCTTTCGCTGTCTAACCATTATCATCATAATCATCATCATCTTCATCCTAGTCCTAACTTAGGGGAAATCTCTTTTATATAAGTAAATCTAACACTAAATAATAGAATATGGATAGCCTAATACCGAAAGGTTGCTCTGAACCCAATGCCGAAGGTGTTGCTATGTATAAAATATCGGGATAATACCTCAAGTTCATTTTCTTTGTCAGTGCACTTAGTTTTAGGTTATCTTTTCCTTTAACAAAGGTGTTAAAGAGATTGGTTGGATTAATAGTTTCGATATAATTAATAGTTAATAGTTAATATTTAATGATTTATAATTATTTTATTTATAATTTAAAATATTTAAATCATTTAATTAAAATTAATTATTGATAGTTGTTTTTCAATATCCGAGACAAACACTTTTATAATTATTATATTATTTAGTATTATAAATTTATA